TTAATTAAACTGTATATGTATCAGCAACTCAATTTTCATTTAATTAATTTAGTTTAGCTTTCTGTTGTTTTTATAATTTTTTAAAATATAAATATTACCATTTATGTTTAATTTATTTGTAACTTATTTTATGAATTCGTTTTTTTTACTTACTACATATTTCATAAGTTGCCAACATTTCTCTTTTATTTAAATTTTATTTCTGCTTTATTCCAATTAACAAACAATTATTTTAAAATATTTAGTTTACAGTAATAGCCCTGCTCGGAGTCAGTCCACTTTCATTGTATAGAAAAGAACAGCATGAACATCTGGCTAACTATCTCTTTTGTGTGTGTGTTACATTTAAGAAAGAAAGTCATTGGAATGACATAACAGTGAGTAAATAGTGACAGATTTTTATTTTTAGGTGAACTGTCCCTTTAAGAACATGCTAATAAATCTCTGACCCACTTTTTCAGTGAATGAATTCCAAATTCAGGAGAATAATGAATGTTCAGATGTGGCGCTCTGCCCAGCGCGATTGGCTCGTATTAGTACTTATCGGACAGGCATGTCATGACAGCGATGGAAACTTCAGTGCTGTTTGCTTTGGTGGTCTGATAATCTCTCTCTCTCTCTCTCTCTCTCTCTCTCTCTCTCTCTCTCTCTCTCTCTCTCTCTCTGTGTAACTGAGTATCTAGAGTTGCAGTCACAGCAGTGAACCTGATCTTAACCTCTTACAAAATTAAACCCCACTGACTGATATTGTGTGCCGCTCCTTTAAGTAACTCTTACTTGCCGAAGGTTATCGATGCCAGGTTGTTCTCTGGCTGCTCTGCCAGCGCTGAAGTGGATGCATAAAGACTAATGACCTCTCTGGGTCTTCAGGTGGCCATGGACTGAAGCTTTTGTGCCAGGACATTGTTTTCAAAAATCCTGTCTGGGTTTGGAAATTGGAAAACTTGGGAGAAATAAGTTTTGAGTTGGGAGAGTTTTGAGCTATAAAATTAGTTTTAGCTATGAAAGTTTTCTTTATACTTCAGATTTTTCTTTCTACATTTCTACTACTAAAATTTGGTGTTTAATTCAATGTGTTACTTGCCGTATCTTCGTAATTAATTTAGACATTTACAAACAATTTCTTAGAATGTTGCTTTGGGAAGTAACTTAAAGGGGTCATATGATGCGATTTAACTTTAAACCGCATAAACACATTGCATTACACCAAATACACAAAATAGCAGCATCATATGACCCCTTTAAATAAATTCAGTTTAAATTGAAGTAGTAAAATTACTACATAATTTTACTGAATAATTACTTTTAATTATAATTATAATTTTTAATTAAATTCACTAAAATTTAGAATAAAGTTAAAATGTAAACTAAAAGCTAATTAAAAAATAAATAAATGTTATAATAGTAAACTATAATAGTAAATACTACTATAAAATTTGACATGTTTTACTTGCTGTTTGTAATTAATTGTGACATTTACTAGCAA